CAGCAGGCTTAAGATGTTCAAACTGGCTCCTAGGAGATAACCTATAAGCTTTTGGAAAATCTTGTCTGGTAAAAATATGTTTATATACCCAGACTTTGCCTGCCAATGCTGCCATACTATGCTAATCATGTATGGTGGATGTTGTTCCCATCTGCCTAGGATTCTAACCCAACCTGTATCAGTTTGACCTTTGAAGGGGCAAGCTGGAACTGAGAAGTTAATGTCCACTATGCAGATATTCCATGCTTACGTGACTGATCTTCAATAAAAAGTCTAGACATCAATGCTGAGAGAATTTCCTTGGTTGGTGATACTTCATATATGCTGTCACCCTTTACAGCTGGGAGAATTAAGTATTGTGTATGTGACTTAACTAGGAGAGAGGACAGCTGGAACTTGCCCTCAATTTTTCCTGGACTCCACTCTATGTGCCTTTTCTCTTTGCTGATTTTAATGTGTATCCTCTCGTTGTAATGCACAGTTACTCTGAATATAACAGAATTTCTAAGCTTTATGAGTTTTCCAGCGCATCATCAAACTGGAGGGTAGTCATGGTACCCCCAACAGAGACTTTACAGTTGTGAAAGATTGACAAGACATAAGACTGATTTGTAAAAATAATTTCAAATGAAGTTGAAATATATGGCAAAGGACATGACCCATTTTTAATAAAAATTTCCTATTGAACTTACTTAAAGGGCAAAAATATATTTAAAGTTTGATGTCAATTTTTATCCATATAAAACCACATAACAAGATTTTTAGTATGCATATATGTATGCTTGTATTTAGGTGATTGTCTATGTATCTGTCTCTGCATCTGAACATTTACTAATACCTATTAAACAACATTAATGCGTACTAGTCATAGGTGCATCAATGTACTTGTGAAAGAAAATGTGAGTGATTTTTTTAAAAAATGAATTTCCATTTATTGCTTAAATATAAACTATGGACACCTATAAATATGACCTCTGGACAAAATATCATGTTAGCTTTTCTTTCTTCCTTTTTATTTTTAAAAATGTCAATGAATGTTAACTAAATTTGTAAAAGGGACTTTTTAGGATATGTGTAGTCTGTCCTTAGTCATTAGTGAAAATTAGAGACAATTATAAAACAATCTCATGCATCAGGGCCAGCAGATGACGTAGTGGTTATGTTGCTGGATTCCCAAGTGGCTGACTGCAGTTCAAGTCTTGGACCTGGTAGCTTGAAACTCAGGCCAGGAATATATGCATGCATACCCAAGATCCTGGGAGGAAAATGGAGGAGAAGGGATTGTGGCAAGGTCATCCCTCCTGGGGGGGGGCTTGATATCTCACTTTCCCTCTCACTGTCTCTCTCTCTCTGGTGAGCACACATGACCTACAGCAAACCCCCCCCCCCAAAAAAAAGTCCCTGTATCATTAAAATATAATTCTTGGCTAAGGTTATTTGAAATATCTGTGAGGAAACATGGGGAAAAACGGCATTTTGTTTGGACTTACCAGTGATCAACACAAAAGAAACACTCATTCTGGTAGGTATGACCATTTGTAGCACAAACATATGCTGTTACATCCGGACAATTTGCTTCGTAATAAGGATATACTGGGTAATACATTTTACATGGGGGCTGCAAATAATATAAAATATCATCAGGATAACAAATGATAGATGATCTCCTATCTATTCCTTTACTTCAGCTGCACAAATATCTAATATCAAATACAAGTAGTCAATTGATCTTTCTGAAGGATTTTCTGTGGCCTGGACTTCCATCAGGCTAGACTTTTTCCTCCTTTCTTCTGGCTGTAGTGTCCTCAGTCAGTCACTCATCCCATCATCTTTTAAAGTCATAACCATTAGAATAGTTCTGTTTAATTCCAAATGCAAAGTTTTCATTTAACCGGGTGTCCCAATCCCATTAACACCTTGTAAGAAATTTGTCAGTTGGACTATTTATGTATTTGTGAATATTTAAAGTAGAGAGCTTAAGCATATTTGTTAAAAATGAGGGTTGCATATTGAGACTAAAAATAAATCTTGGATCTACCACTGCTTAACTTTGTGACTTTAAGCAAATGACAAGTGTTATTTCACTTACTGTTCATATATATATATATATATATATATATATATATATATATCTCCAATATATTATATTTGACTATGTATAGTTCTTCTACTAAAATACATTATTATATTATAATGCTTGTGCTACATGGGGGGAAAATCTAAGTCTAAGTCTGGTAAAGGTTCATGCCCAGGTCACAGATATACATTTCATTCTACATTATTTTCATGAATTTTTAGATCTCTAATATTAAGAGAACAATCAGATTAGAATGAGAATCCAGAACTGAGAAATTTAAATTTACCTGAGGCCATTTAGATTTGTCATGGGATTTGAAAGCTGTTGGAAAAAAGGACATACAAAATAAGTTAAAAGAACTAGTTCTCCGTAGGATTTTATTTCACACACTGAAGTTACTGCTCGAATAAAAAAATGTAATTTAATAATACACTTGCACAAAAGAATTTATAGGGACAAAATTTGTGTGTGCTATCCCTTTGTTAGCCGCTTTATCCATTAATTATTCTTTCCTTCATTTTCACAGTCCTTACTTCATTTATAAATTTGTCACACCATTAAGGAAAGAGTAAAAACTGTTTTATGTGTAACTTGCAAACGATGCTATTTTCAGTAGCTATGATTTTCATTGACTTTAAATTTTCTTCACTACAATTGGGATAATGTCAGCCTTTTAAAGATTGTTGTAAAAATTAAGTATAATGTAGCAAGTAAAGTATTAGCTTAGTTCCCACCAAGATGTCGAACTAAAGAGGGCACGGTGATAAGAAAACTGAAGGAGTTCCTCGGTTTTGGGTAGACTGATTTTGTGGACTGGTTTTGTGAGAGGGGGGTGTCACCTGGGGCAGTGGATGTCCAACTGACTGTAGGAGACTAAAAAAGAAAGGACTTATGGTAGTTCTGCTTTAACTTATCTCTCACTGGTGATAATATTTAAAATATCACTGAACATTCTGACTTTTCCAAAAGTAAAAACTTCCAAAAGGTAGAAGAGAAACGATGAATGGGACTTAATAATCTTCCCACACAAGAAACAAGCCTATGAATCTTTCCAGAAATAGATTATGCAAATTACATACATAGCATTTTAGAGAATAAAAAAGATGGTTGGAAGAATCAACAGAGTTAAAATGTCGATTATGCCCAAAGTGATCCACAAATTCAATGCAACTTCTATAAAAATTCCAGCAACTTTCTTCTGATAAATACAAAAAACAATTATAAAAATTTTCTGGAATTACAAAAGATTGCATATTGCCAAAACAATACTACAAAAAGAATAAAGTTGGAGGCATTTCATTATCTGACTTTAAAATATATTATGAAGGCATAATAGTCAAAACAGCAAGTACTGGCACAAAAAGGAGACATACTGACCAACAGAACACAGTAGAGAACCCAGAAATAAATCCAACATAGAGTCAATTGATGTTTGACAAGGGACACAAGATAATGCATTAGAAAAAGTCAGTCTTTCAACAAATGGTGCTGGTAAAATTGGATATACACTTGCAGAAAAATGAAACTAGACTCCCATCTCTCACCATTTACAAAATTAACTCAAAATGGATAAAAGTCTTAAAATAAAGCCTCAAACCAAAACTATTATAGGAAAACACAGGAAAAATACTTAAAGATATTGGAGTAGGCAAATATTTCTTGAATAAGATCCAGCTAATTGGTATCCCAGAAGGTGAAGAGACTCATAAGGGCATTGATAATCTATTCTGTGAAATCCTGGAAGAAAACTTTCCAAACCTAGAGAGGCATTCATAGATCCAGTCCCAAGAAATACAAAGGATCCCAAATAGAATAAACCCAAGAAGATCTTCTCCAAGACACATTATAGCCAGATTGATCAAAACCAAAGACAAAGACAAGATACTAAGAGAGAAATTGTTAAGAGAGAAACATCAAGTTACCTACAAAGGATATCCCATCAGGCTAACAGCAAACCTCTCATCGGAAACAATGTGAGAGAAGAAAGAATGGGAAAATATATTCCAAGTGTTAAGGAAAAAGCAGTTTCAACGAAGAATATTGTATTTGGCAAGATTATCCTTCATATGGGAAGAAAAGACAAAAACATTCTCAGATAAACAAAACCTGAAAGAATTTACCAACACCAGACCAGATCTCCAAGAAGTTCTCAAGGGAGTGCTATACCAGGAAGATTAAATATAGACACACAGAAATAAGAGTTCAAAACCTAAGAAAATGGCCAACTTAATCATAGGGACAAGTCTGGAGTCGAAATTAAATCCCAGAATTTAATCGGGAAGATCGAACCACAACAGTAGATACAAAGTACATGAGACTGAACTAGTGAAAAAGAATTTTATGACTTTTGACTAAAACATTCTGATTTTCTTCTAGGCTTGTTTTCCAATTTTAAGGATTTTTGTCCTGTCTTGAGTTGCTGATGGGTTTATGTACCTACTATTTGAACAGAATCCTAACTTGTTTCCTGGCTTTAAGTTTGTTTGTTTATTTATTTATTTATTTTTGGAGAGGTTTTTGCTACAGGGCATGTACACTCGCCAGAAAGACATAGAGAGACAGAGAGATAGAAAGCAAGAAATCACCTACCCAGAAGGGATGGCCACACCGCAATCCCTTCTCCTCCCTTCTCCTCTCGGGATCCTGGGCCCACACACACACACACACCTGGTATGAGTTTGAGCCACTGGGTCCAGGACTCGAACTTCAGTCAACTACATGGGAGTCTAGCACCACAGCCATTATGTCAACTGTTGGTCCCCTGGTTTTAAGTTTTAAGCAAAGTTCCTTATCATTTCTTCGATTTATTAAAGCTAAAATGGCGTTTCTTGAAGTTAAAAAGTATATTAAAATGACCGTAGTTAGCTATATAGCATCAGCTAGGTACTACCTTATAGTACATTCATTTTACTCAGAGTTTTATGCCTAAAGTCAGACATGTATTCACAGATATGTATATATCAGCTGAACTTGCTGTTGAAAGTAGTTAGATTATTTAAGACATTTTATGAATCAGTAAAATGTGGGGGGGAAAGGAATGGAAAACAACTGCAGACACCTGAGATAGTGTGGGACAAGGGTGGGAAATACGGCAGAGTAGTAAAAAAATATATATATACGTGTGTGTGTGTGTGTGTGTGTGTGTGTGTGTATATATATATATATATATATATATATATATATATATATATATATATATATATATATATATATATATATATATATATATATATATATATATATATATATATATATATATATATATATATATATATAAATATAATTTTGAAATTAGAAATGGAAAATTATTGACAATAACATGTATGATTAAACCACTATGCAGTATATTCTGGATGGGAAATCACATTTTGCATTCTGTGATGATACTCAGGGAATGAATGTGAATTAATTAATTTAAAAAGAATGTTTCAGAAGAAAATTACAGTGCATTTGTAACTAGATTTTAGCTTTGTCCATATTTTTAGTTTAAGGTATTTTGTGATTTAATAAAATGCAGGAAAAAAGTTTAATATGTAAGGGAGATAGGGGAAAGGGGAAGGAAACAAAAAAAGTAAAAGTATGCTTAGTTGACAAAGAAATGAGAAGCTACTTGCTGATAAGTTATAGAGTAATATTGTTAACATGGTCATTTGCAATCTTGATTACAGTACAAATAACCCTGTTGCATGGGCAACATGTATAATATTGGCCCCTTGGAAAGACCACCTATCCAGGGAGACTTCTGGCCTATGGGGTCTAATAGCAATTGTCCTGTTTGTTAGTAAAGTTTTGTCTCTCCTTGTGACTAGTTCATCTTATCTACAGTCTTTTCCCTTTGAAGTTCCTGACGCCAGTGACAGCCAATATTATTTCTATCTTGTGCAGCTAACATCCATAAACCTCTCTGACTGCTGGGTATGTGGAACTGTTGTTAATACCCAGCTCTGAAAACATGCTATGAATAGTCACTGCATATAATTGAACTGAACAGGAAATAGGGGTTCATTCTGACTAGCTAGGCTCTCTGAGGCTTACAGTGTTAGACACCTCACTCTCTAATCTCTGTGAGTAATGTATCTTCCCAGAAACTTGGATATTAGCATTGTTTTCTGTCTAGTAGAAATTCCGTGTGCTTGTTGCAGTGTATTGTTGCTGTGAAGTATGACTACAAGCCACCTGCTGCTATTTGGCCGGAGGAAATTCAGGGAAGAGGGTTGTATGAGTCATGGCCTGCAAAGACGTCAGGGTGGGGTGTACAAGTAAGTGAAACAGTCTGATGTTCTCTATGTGCTCCACTCTTCCACTGCATTTCAGTTATTTTAGTCTGTTTGAGTAATCAGGGCATTCAGACCTCTTAACTGAGAATATTTGCTAAACCCTGAACATTCACATCTTTCTCCGAAGATGATTGTCTCTTTTCTTTCTTCCTTTCTTTTTTCTTTTTCTTTCTTTCTTCTTTCTTCTTCCTTTTTAATTTTTTTTTAAGAGAGATTTTTGCTATAGGGAACATGTGCTCAACAGAAATACAGAGAAAGACAGAGAAAAAGAAAGTAAGAAATCACCCCCCCCAGGGGAATGGCCATGCCACAATCCCTTCTCCTCCATTCTCCTCTCAGGATCTTGGGCATGCACACACATGTGCCCAGCATGAGTTTAAGCCGCTGGTTGAGGGACTTGAACCGTGGTCAACTACGTGGGAGTCCAGCGACATAACCATTATGCCACCTGCTCGTCCTGATTACCCCTATTGTTTAACCTCTTTACATACGATCTCAGATCACTGGGAAAGCCAAAAGTGGAACCTGTAGCTGTGCAATGAGAATCAATATCCACTAAATATATCTCCTGGTCCATAAGTTACACTGATAGTAAACTTTTTTTATATCCTCTGTGAAACCTTCTGCTTTATTTTTAGTCTGAGAGAACACACAGTTGGACAGATATCCTATACTTTTCTAATGAAATGATTAATTTATGCAACAACTTTGGAAAACCATCTGGCATTGCCCTATATTGAAAATTCATACACCTTGTGGTATAGCATATATATTCTTAGATATGCACCAAGTAAAACTGTCGTTTATGTGCATTAGAAGCATGCAGAATGATATTTCTTTTTTTTTTTTTTGAGAGGTTTTTGCCATAGGGCGTGGGCGCTCACTAGACAGAGAGAGACAGAGAGACAGAAAGCGAGAAATCATCCCCCAGGGGGGATGGCCACGCCACAATCCCTTCTCCTCCATTCTCCTCTCGGGATCTTGGGCATGCACGCACACGCACCCAGCATGAGTTTTAAGCCACCGGGTCCGGGACTCGAACTGTGGTCGACTACATAGGAGTCCAGCGACATAGCCATTACACTAACTGCTGGTCCCGAGAATGATATTTCTATTGGCTGTGTATCTAACATCATAAATTTGTAAACAAGACAAATGTCCATCAATAAGAGATAGACCTTAAAGAAACTAGGGTATTTTCACATATTAGGATATTGTTCATTAATGAAATTAAATGAATTACAGATCACATAAAATATGTATCAATTTAAGTCATATGATACTGAGGAAAAAGTAAATTTCAATAGATAATAATATTCTCTCTATATAATATTAGAGAAGCAGTCCCAGAAGACAAAGTAAATGACTTTATATAGAATTTTTAAAAATGATAAAAATATGCTTTTCCTTGAAGTATACATAAGAAAAGTGTATTCAACATAAAAGCAGGAAAAGAATGGACATGAAATTTAGAATGATGTTTATCTTAGAGAAAGGTAGACAAAGGAATGGGATGAGTGGAGGGCTGAGTTATGGATTTGAATTTTTGTCAGTTGTCTACCTTTTTGCAGGAATAATATGTTCATGGTGCTGATTGATTGGCTGCAATGATATTTGCTGAGCCACATTATGATTAACCCTGTTCAATCCAGCTGAGGCTTATTTAAAATCATAAGGCAAATGTAGAGGACCTTCATGTACTAGATAAGTAATTGATGGTAACTACATTTTAACCTTAATTTAATGAGCACTTACTATATATATCATTTATTTAAGAAGGATCTGAGAATGCACTTGTAAGAGATACGTGGTTGCATCTGCTTTACTGGTTTGTAAAGCAGTTTGCCTATTTTTAGGTACACTAGTTTACTGTTGCAGTAACAAGTTATCATGAACGTAGTGACTTCTAGTGACACAAATGTAGCATCTTACAATTCTGAAGGTAAGAAGTCTTAAAATCAAGGTGTCATCAGAGCTATGTTCCTTCTGAAATTTCTAGGGAAGAATTTCCTCCTCTCTTTTAGCTTTTATAGACAGCCTGAATTCTCCAGTTCAGGCCCATTTCTGGCATTATTTGAACCACTGCTTCCATTGTGATATCTCTGTCTTTGGCTCTCCTGCCTCCCTCTTTATAAGGAGTTTTGTAATTGTATTATTCCACCAGAAGAATACAGAAAAATCTGCCGATCTTAACTATGTCTGCAAAGTGTCTTTTGCTGTGGTATGTAATATATTCAGAGCCTCTGGTGATTAGGATTTGGATATATTTGGATATTGTGTGGGGAGAGGGTCATTATTTGGTCTATAACAGCAGATAACATGGGTTTTGTCTTTATGTCAGATCACTGGTTTTTGTTACCCAACTATGAAGACACACATGTCAACCAATTTTGTCCACACCACATCTTTTGTTCTTCATTGGACTATTTTACATCATCCAATTGGGTCGTCGAAAGTCATGACACATCTTTTGCATAGAAAAACAAAAAAATTATGTCATGACTTTTCCAATGACCCAGTATTTTAAGGAAACTTTGAAACTCAAATGAAAAATGCATCATTTTCCTAGGGGAAAATATCATAACTATACAATGTATTGTTTACAAGAAAATGTTACATTTTTCTCTTCTTTCAGAGGTTTTATTTTGAGTCAACAAAATAAAAATGAGAATGAAAATACAAGTTGTAGAAAACAAGTTTAATTTTTTATTAATCAGAATATGCTATAGATGCTTTTCCCCATGTATCTGTCAGTCTTTGCTATTGTTCATGCTGGGTTGGATAAATGAGATCTAGGCTAGTGGTTCTAATGTAACATTCTTTAAGCATATTTTAAAATAGTATTTAAGTAAATGGTCTAATTTCTACAGAATCATTGTACTGAGCTGTCTTTTTGTTTTTTAAGTTGTTTAAATAAGCTCAGCTAATTCAAGACATTGTAGCCACTTACACATCAGCATGCTTGAATTTAGTAGCTTACAGCAATATTTATGAAGGAAAACAATATAACCATGAAGTACCTCATGTCGAATGCTATTGCACTGTATTTTTAATGTAACAATGCAGATCCTGTTAGACACATAAATGTGTATAATCATGTTAAGTGCAAATAAAATAAAACTGGTTCTTAGAAAAAAAAAGAAAACAAGTTTAAGTTTTCCATTAAGGAACATATATATTTTACTATGGGTCATCAAGAAAGTCATAATGCATTTTTGCATAGAAAAACATAGAAAAATACACCATGACTTTCCTGATAACCAAATAATTCATAATTTTGATTATCAAGCCAAGTCCTACATTTTAGCAAAACATTGCCCATCCCAAATGAAAAATGACTTTCTCTTTTCATATAACATTAAGAAATCAGATGTTTATCTCCCCAAGTCTCATGATTGCTCACCTGAAAAAACATTATGTCCCAAAGTAGAGAGCGCTAGGAAAAACATGATCTTGTGGGCAAAGGCAGCCATTTGATCTCATCCAATATCCTTCTTTGGTGAGACCTGTGAAAAAACCGAGGACACTTTATTTCTCATCTCTTGCACACCTGGCTTTACAAACAGGAGAGAAACTAATACTCCAAAGTGGTGCCATTCCCATACACTTGCCATGGTAGTCTCACCCTGGCTAGTCTCCAGGGGTTTGGGCTTGAAAGAGCCCTTCTGCTCCAAGGAAGGAGAGAAAAACCATAAAAAATATCTTTTCATTTTTTCTATCACCATCCAGCTTACAATCACAATCCTGGCCTGAAAAGAAATTAGGCTCACTACTCACCAGGGTTGACTTCAAGGCATGATATTTGTAAGTAGATTAGCCATGCAATTTATTTCCTAAACTGAGATATCCCTGTAGGTGAAGTTGGACATGTAATAATACATAAGCATTCTGAGATAACGCATGTGAACTGAGGACTGTCCCCCATAATTAGGGACATAGCACTCAAATACAAATTACTCAAATACAATAAGATGGACTGGTTTTTCCCATTCATTTTCTAGCCCATTTATGTGGACTCAGATGCAAAGAATAGATTGAAAATAGAACTATTGATCCTGGGTAATAAAAATTAACTGTACCTTCCCTGAGGGAGGATATATCCATACACACACACACACACACACACACACACACACACACACACACACATCCTTGAACTGGTTTATTGAAATGGGTGAGATGTCAGGGTTCAGATTCCAGGTTCAATGTCTCTTAGAAGAGAGAACCTTAGAAAAACTGTGAACTTCATAGGATAATTGAGAAGGTTGACTGTTGTTAACATAAGTAAAGAGTTAAATGTATTAAGTCAACAATTTAGCCAGCCTGTCTTTGTAAAGATGGAAATATTTAGGCCCAGAAAGGGGATATTTTAATTTCCTCAACTTCCTCATGCCCTGCTCTATTCACTCTGTTTTTTCTCAAACTTGTTGCTAGTGAGTGTACAGAAAATGAGGAAGAACTATATTGAGTGGTTTTTTTCCTTTATGTGCAGAGTAAAGTTGGATGTTGGAGGAAAACTATATATATATATGAAGAGGGGGGAATCCCACTGACAGAAAAGCTAAAAAGATCTTACCAATGACTTAGACTAAGGGTTGAGGAGGTGAAGACAGGTTACCTGAATGAGGTGGCTGAATATGAACCTCCTTCAGTCACCTCACCTTTAGGTCACAGCAAGTGTTGAGGAGAGCTACTGTTCTGTTGTCTATGGCCAAGGACATGGGAGCAGAGGAGGTAGATTCTGCTTAGTTAAGTGACCACTTGCTGGCATCAATTTATTCTACTGGCTATTTTTGAGTTTGATCTCTGTCTTTGAACCACCCCCTCTGATGTTTCATGCTTTATCAAGCAGGAACAGACGTGGAGGTTATGTACTTATCATTTCTGGCCATGGATTATGAGAACAAGAAGTTTTGCATCCAAAATATCTGGTATTTGCAAAGCATATTAGTTACCTTCTACGTTTCAGATCATTTGGTAAATTTTCTCACTTGAATTCAAGGCTGTTTCCAGTCTTCATAGACTCCACTACTGCTACTTCTTAGAAGTCTTACCTGTTTTATTTTTTGACAATATAATTTTTTTTTCTACTAGCCTGGGAAACCCCAATGTCCCAGCCTCCCAGTGTCTATGCTTGCTGCCCTCTATTACCCCTCAACATATGCAAGCTTGCAAATTGGCAATTCTCTGGAAAAATTCTATGTCACAGTCTGTACACACTCCAGGAGTAATTAGTAGCCTTTTTGTTGTTTTGTATTTCTGTACCAGACTGAATTCCATGGTCAACATTTTTATTTAGCCCCTTGACATGTCCATTCTCCCTTGATGTCTTACTTTCCATGCATCCCTCTTTCTTCCAAGTTGGGATAAATTCAGCTTCATTTTCCTGTTCCATACCTTGGTTGTTGAGAAAAAAAAAAAAAGAAAAAAAAAACTATAACATGGTCTCTGCTCTCTTGCTATCATCACTATTTACCTGTCTTTTAGATTTCTAAGGAAATAGTTAATGTGATGTTTATATTTATGCCACCTATCCCATACCATTTTTTTTATCTACTCTTTTTTTTTCAGCTGGCCCCTTCTCACCCACATGACTTGGAGTAGAAAGCTTCACTTTTTCTTCACTGAGTAAATAAGCTTCAGAATGAACTAGTCCTGCACCCCCTCCTCCCCATTTACTTTAAATTTGTAGAGATTTTATCATTTACATTGTTTTCCTATTTTCATCTTTTGTTCCATATCAACTTACCAGGAATGTATTCATTCATTCATCCTCTGTCAGCCCCTGGCTATGTAGTTTGTGCTCCTCAACACATTTATTTCTCACAACAAGCTTATGAAGAATATATTCATTCTTGTATAACAGGGAAAAATGCTGAGACTTCGAAGAGATGATTCATTTGCTAAAGATACAAGCTAGATACTAACTATGTTGCAATAGGGCACATATTGGATTAACTCCAAGCTTGTGTTGAGGTGTTTTCTCTGCATTTTCTCTTATCTTGGGACACAAATGTTCCCTTCAATTTATTGTTCCCTTCAATTTATCTTAGAACCATACAACAAATGTCTTGCATAGTACATTTCACTGTTCTCAGCCAGCGTCTTTGATTTTCTTCGTCACTAGCTTTTGCTTTTTCTAAAACCAATGCTTTTAATCTTTTCAAAATACTGCTTTCTGTGCAAGTAGGCTGTACGTGTTACAAAAAAAAAAAGACTGACTTTGACCTTGAAATCACAATTAACAGCAATATTTTTGCCACATTATGGGTAGTCAGTAAATGCAGGGTGACTTAAAAATTATTTGCAGAATATAAAAAGTTCATTTTGCTGCAAAGTTTTTTTTTTTTTTTTTTGAGAGATGTTCGCTATAGGGTGTGTGTGCTCACCAGAAAGACAGAGAGAGACAGAGAGATAGAAAGCGAGAAATCACCCCCCGGGAGTATGGCCATGCCGCAATCCCTTCTCCTCCATTCTCCTCTTGGGATCTTGGGCACGCACCCACACGCGCCCAAGTTTAAGCTGCCGGGTCCAGGACTTGAACCGCGGTCAACTACGTGGGAGTCCAGTGTCATAGCCATTATGCTAACTGCTGGTCCCGCTGCAAAGTTTTTTGAAATTCATGCATTTAAAAAAGAAATTGCATTCACTATGAACTTTTTGAAGACTCCTTGTGTGGATGAGAGGAAGAAAAGAAAATAACCCATTTTTACTAAGTTCTTGGATATTCTTGAAAATGTACCTCCCAAATGTGTTTTAGAGACATTGTGTCTAGTCCACCAAGAAATAAACCTGCTAGAATTAAAAAATTTTTTTTAGATTTTCGTCATAGGGCATGCACACTTACCTAAGAGAGACAGAGGGAGAGAGAAAGAGAAAGTGAGAAATCCCTCCCTGGAGGGATGGCCACACTGCAAACCCTTCTCTTCCATTCTCCTCCTGGGATTTTGGGCATGTATGCACACTTGCCTGGTGTGTTTTTCAAGGCACTGGGTCTAGTACTTGAATTGCAGAGTCAACCATGTGGGATCTAGTGCTTTCACCACCACTCCACGTGTGGGCCCCAAACCCTACTAGAATTTTGACTAGAGTCACATACACTTGGGGAATGTAACATCATTGTCATATAGTCTTTTCACACATAAATATGTCTTATTTTGTGACTGGCAGGGTAATGTTCTATTCTCCTTATAATAGACATTTCAAGATTGCTATTTCTAAAACACAAATTTGTTCTTGCTGCTTATTCTATGATCATTCTTAACATGTCTTTAGGGTGGTCATGTACATTCCTCTCTGTAGGATAAGTAACTAGAAATGAAGTTGATAGACTAGAAAATAGATGTATGCATAACAGTAGTAAATTCTACCAGAAATAGTTCCAAGGTGATTGAAAGAATTGATACTGTTTACAGAAATGTATGAAAATTGCTCCTGCTCTCCATTTTATTAAAATTTCTGTTTTCTGTCATTATTTACTTCATTTTAGCCATTGTGGTGGTCTTATAGGTGTGTATTCTGAAGTGAGTTTGCATCTTCCTAGAGAATAATGATACACATCTTTTCATATTAGTTGTTGGCTAATAGGATGATGTTTTTAGAAGAGATTGCTGCAGTACTTCACCAGATTTTAAATAATCTGATATTTCTTGAATAAATTTAAATTTGCAGATATGGCAAAATAATACAAAATTAAACTTTCACTCAGTTTCTCCCCATTTTTGTATTCTATAGTATCATATTACAATTGTAAAAACTAAGAAACCATTGTGGATTCATTATTATTAACTAAACCCCACACTTCATTCTGATTTCTTTTGTTTTTCCACTAATGTTCTTTATTTGCTCTGGGATCCCATGCAAGATATCTCATTGTATTTAACCTTTTATCAACTTCTTATCTGATCTTTACTCTTTCTTACTTTTTTATAGAAGTAAAATATTTCTGTATGTTTTCTATATGCATACTTAAACACATAAAAAACCCCACATTTCTGCAACTAAAAAAAATACTCATATACACATAGACTCTGGAAATAAGTCTTTTTGTGAATACATATAACTAAATCTTTTCAAACAATGTAACTAATACATGCACTTTTAAAATAACCATTTTTCTTTTTTTAAGAGTTTTTACCCTAGGGTGCGTGAGCTTGCCAAAGAGACAGAGATGGTGAGAGGGTAAGTAAGAAATCACTCCCTACGGGGGACAGTCAGGTCACAATCTTTTCTCCTCTATTTCTTCTCAGGGTTTTGTGTGTGCCCCACACACACATGCTGGGCGTAATTTTCAAGATGCCACGTCTGGGACTCAAACTGCTGTCGGCCATATGGGAGTCCAGAGCCTTAACCACCATGCCACTTACTGGCCCTTAAAATAAACTCCTAATGAATAGAATTTTCTAATATTAATGAAATCCTGTTTATCACTTATTTTTCTCTGTGGCTCATGCTATTTATTTATTTATTTATTTCTGCTTAACAAAACTGCCTATTCCCAGGTAATAAATGTATTTGTTTTTGTTAAACTATTGTTTGGATAGAATATGTAGGTATCTGATACACCTAAAATTAATTTTTTTTGTTGTTGTGATGGTGTCAAAATTCTTTGTATTATTCTCTACAGATTTTTTTTCTATTACCATTTCTTGCAAATAGTACTTTCCATAAAAATTGCTGTATATGTGTGTGCCTATTGCTGGGTTCTATATCATTCATCCATTTATATTTGTGTACCATACCACATTTTTGGACTACTGGATCCATCAGTGAGAGCTTAAATTCAGTGGTGTAATGAAGTATCAAGAAGATCTTAATAGTTCACTCGTTTTTATTTCTGGATTGTTTGGCTATTTTATAGTGAGAAAATATTCATATTTCTCTTACAAAATTCATCTAAAACCTTCGATCAGGCTTCATAATTCCAAATCTGATAGTTCCCTTCACTGCACTTAATTTTCTTACCTCTGACAGGAAAGCAAGAATTCAATGTGTTCTTTGTAGGGAACTTATCTTGGGTTGGCATACCCTGTGCAAAAAGTGAAAATAAAAAAGAACACGTTCTTCTTCCTAATTTATCACTCTTTTTCTTCTTCTCCAACAACATGGAAATGTGTACATTATAATAAACACCTTTTAACTAATTTTAACTATTACTAAACAGCAACTTATTTTTATTATAATTTCTCTCTCATTTTTTTCCCTCTTCATTGTTTCTAATTTGTATTTGGTTACTCCAGTTTCCTCTTCTGAACCACTAAATCTGGATTTCCTCAGGTGTTTATTTATTTATTTATTTAACTAGACCCTTGAGACTATCCTTCTGTTGCCAATGATCTTACTCAAGACTTGGTGGTTTTAATGAGCACATCTACAGAGAAAACTCACCTATGCAAACCTCCAGGCCAAAACCCTTAAATTTTGAATTCACATACATATAATATCTTTAATTAGATTACTCAAAGTTATTTTAAATCTGGTATGTCACAAGTGAGTTTCAATCTTTTTCTAATCTGCTCCCACCTGTTCCAATGATAGGATTTAACTTTGTTTTTATGGCACAACCCACAGATGGTTACACCAATGAGAAACTGCAGATCTCCTGAGATGTTCTCCTATCCAATCCACGGACAAGATATTGTTATATCTTTCAAATTCACTTTGCTTCACCTTCACTATAAATACCACAATCTAGACCACTGTAGACTCTCATTTACATCATGGAAATGATTTTCTAACAAGTTACCTGCATTGGGAAGTCTTACTCTCT